CTTCATGTATAGAGCCAATCATTTGTAGATTTAACTAATAAGTTAATACATGTAGCATTCTTAGATCAGTGGCTGTATGTGCTTAACAAATAGTAGCAAGCAAATATTATCTAGTAATGCAGTTATAGCAGTGATATTTAGGTGCAAAAAAAAGTCACTCCTGAGAATGTCAAACTTATCTTTTACTTTAAACTTATACTACATATCTATCATGTGAAGGTTACTTATCATTGGCCCATGTGAACAATAATTCTAAGAATGAGGCTCTCTGCCTCATATATTTCATATTGCTTAAACTCAGAGCCACAGACACTTGATCTTTCATTAAGAAGTTTGCTTTCAGTCATAAAATGCTTTTTAATTAAAGAGTAAGCTGTAAAATCACCTCATGAAGGCACTTTTTTTTTTTAAATAATTTTATTTATTTTTTTTTCCCCAAAGCCCCACTAGATAGTTGTATGGTCATAGCTGCACATCCTTCTAGTTGCTGTATGTGGGATGCGGCCTCAGCATGGCCGGAGAAGCAGCAGTTCCGTGCGCGCCCGGGATCGAACCCAGGCCGCCAGCAGCGGAGCGCACGCACTTTACCGCTAAGCCACGGGACCGGCCCTGCAGGCACGTTTAGGATGTGAGTATGCTATTGGGAAAAGCACAAATGAATCCAATTTCAAAAACTACTGAAAAAGTGCATCATTAACCTTACTGAATATACTTGATGGAGACAATTTAAAAATAAATATTCCTTTTCCATTTGATTGAGTACTCTGAAATTAGACTTGCCTGAGTCCAAATCCTAATTCTTCCACTCGTTGGTCATATGACCTTGGCTAGTTACTTGATTATTATGTGCCTCAGTTTTCTCCTCTATCAGTAGGAGAAAATACCACTGCCTACCTAACAGATAGCTACGGAGATTAAATGAGGCAATACATACAAAGCTAGTACTTACTTAGCAATGTAGTATGCACCTAGTAAGTGCTTATTGATTATTATTATTATTTCCAAAGAATATCTCACAGGTTAGTGGGACCAACTACTTCTATCTTGGCGGGGGATGGGGGGGGTGGTTTAAAATATACAGGGCTGATTTTAGAAGAATTTGACCCATAGTTTTGTAGTATCCTATTTTTAGGTTCTCAGCACCACCACTCTCTCCCTTGGCACAAATTCAACTGCCATTTTAGGGTCAAGACCACATTTGACCACATTACCTCTTGGGGAACTTCCTGCACACAGAACATTCTCTAGGAGAGCTTTTATTCTCCCTGTCCTAGCATTTTTAATGGCACTAAGTCAAGGATTTCAAAACTGTTGCTAAAGGTGGGTTTTGTCTGGCAGCTATTAATTCTGAAGGTGCTATTGGTTGCAACAGTGTTAACAGCCTAAACTTAAAACAACAATGTTTGCTGTTAGCTCAGGACCTTCCTACAAAGCACAGAAACGGTCTGGGGAGCAGATGTGCACAGAGTGGGTAGAGAACGCTGCGTAAAATCCTGCGGGTGTTTTGGTTTAGAATTTAGATTTTACTTTCGCTATTACTAGGCCAGGATCAACTGACATCAAATACCAACAAAACAAGCAGAGCAGGTTGGTCTTAAAAAACAAGCCCAGCACCGAAAAAATCAAGGTTTAAGCAGATACATATACATAATTGTAGCATAAACTCTTTATGAGCTAAAGGATTCAGGTTCTAGAGCCCGCAGTTTAATACAAACTATCCCAAAAGTCAGAACCAGTGCAAGAAATTGAAACAGTTTACAATTCCTTCTTTCAGGCTGTATGCTAGGTGTTAACATAGAGATGAAGAAAGATGTGGTAGTGGAGCAAAAATGTAAAGAGCCAAATGGCAGCACATCACAGTAAGTGCTGAATCAGAGGTTCGAACTGAGTGCAGTGGGAGCACAAGGAAGGGAGAATGACACTTGTCTGCAGCCTGCAGAGACTTCACAGAGAAGGCGACTTTTGAATTATGCCTTCAAGGAATGATACAGCCCAGCCTGCATTTTCTTGTAGCTAACAACAAAACAACAATGTAATATAATTACCATTTCCATACAACCCACAGAGAGGTTGCAGATATTCTTTCTAAGTCTCACCACAACCCTACAAAGTAGATATTGATGTTCCAATAGACCGATGAGGAAACTGGGGTTCAGAGATTAAGAAGCTCAGGGTCACGTAGCTAGTGACCCAAGATTTGAGCTCAGATCTGTATCGTTCCAAATCCCTTACCATAGTCCTGCACAGCCTAGAAAGATCCACTTATGTTCCCTATTGTCAACCAGTACATGGTTAACTTGTAACCATGTGGAGTCTAAGGGTGGGAACTCACTCTGGAAGACCATCTAGAATGTCAAACTTTGGCCTAAAGAATTGAGTCTTAAGTGAAAGGTCAGGATGATGGCTCTATACGTATACGCAGTTCATCTAGTCCAGAGTACCCTCTCCTTTCTCTGAGCTTCAACCACTTGTAGTTCAAAATAGATTATTCTGATTTATGTGCATGCTTGATTCCCTCTCCCATGAACTGTGAAAACCTTGATGTCAGGGAATAAGCGTTATACTTCTTTGAGATCCTCAGGGTCCAGCACTCACAGAAGTTGGCTGATTGCTGATTCGCCTGGCACTTTACTGAGGCCTTGAGAAGCATGCATGTTGATTTGAGTTAGGTTGACTGAGGTGAGGTGACTAGACTTAAGGTTTACATGCTATAAAGTAAGGAAAGGAGACCTAAGCAGTATAACACGGTGGTTTTCAGACTAGTGCCTCTCAGCCTTCAGTGTGCATGTGAATCACCCGACTCCATGTAGAACTGTCCAGTTCACCCTATCAGAGAGCAGGCACAGATCAGACAAAAGTATTGCAATTAAGCAACTGAGAGCTGGTGGTGGGGGCTGGGAAGGGAGGGACTTAATTTGCAGGGATTCAAATCCCATTTCCAAACTCTGTTGCTGTTCCTCGTCCTTTTGCTTTCATGGCAATGAAGAGCAGTTAAGTACAACAACAGCTACCGTTTAGTCAGTACTTATGAAGTGCGTGGTACTGTTCTTGGTGCTTTCAGCATCTTATCTACTTCTTACAGCAACTCATAGTACTATATTTACAGACTGATGACGGAAAAAAATAAAAAGTGTCAGTAACGTCCCTACATTTACACAGGAAGAGCAGGGATTTATTCCTGGTTCACCTGAGTCCAAAGTCTAGCGTTGAATGGCTCCTTGACACTGGGTTGTGAGGGAGCACTTGAGGGATGCCTAAGCTAGAGGTCAGAGGGCCAACAGTACAAGGAGGATTGAGGTGCACTCAGAAAGCACTTGCAGAATCCAGCCCTCCACAGGAGGTTGACTTGCCTCACTGAGTGTTTAAATCCAGGTAAGGTGTTCAGGAGCTGGAGCCACCTCAGATAGCACCTAATGGCTCGCAATGGAGTCACATTTTTTAGCAAACTGCTAAAGTCAGCCTCTGCCTTTTCCCCAGGAACTCTGAAGGAATTTTTCCACCTGCCATCTAGGAGGAAGGCCCCATCCTAGATTTTTGTCTTGATCTAGGTTTACTAAGACTGGTGTTAGTGTCATCTCCTAAGGCCTCAGAGGGTCTAAGGTGTCTTCCGGGAAAGACCCGACAACAGTACCGGAATTGGAAAAAGTGTAGTACTTTGTCGGACAAGTGGGGGAAAAGCAGGTAAAAGCCCAAGAGAACAATTTTTGGACAAATTTTCTTTTCATTTTGGCTTTGAAACAGAAATAGGGTAAAATGAGGTGCCTGTTTTCTTAAGGGTTGCTGTGTAAGAGCAAACCAACTAGTGAAAGACGATAAGTTGTCTATTAATTGCTCTACTCAGGTGCATCTGGCTTTCCCCCACTGCCAGGACAGAGCACTAGTTTAATTTTTGGTGCTCTTAGAATAGTATTGACGAGGCATCTCAGAGACTTTATACTACTTAGTCATCTTGTCTACATTTTTTCACTGAGCAGAAGATTTTCCATACAGATAGCTGTCAGCTTTCAACAAGGTAGAGTTGGCGTTTTCATCCTGAAATTGGATAGGAGAATGTGGAGAAGAAAAGCAGGGCTCAGATCAACAGATAAGGGAGAGCCCCTCCCCCATCCTCTTTAAACAACAGGTGGCTTTAATGCGCAGCGTCAACTCCTTTATGCACAGCAAGAAATTGTAGGCGGAGCATTCAATTTCAGCTTCCCTAGAACCTGCAGCTGAGAGATCAGGGAGCCCGCCTGTCAGTGTCCAGGAACACGGTGGTTCCTGCCGGAGGGGAGACTCGGGGGTCAAGGGGCTCGTTGGCTTCACGTCCAGGGAAATTCGTTTTTGCCTTTCTCCTTCTCGTCTCCCTCCGTGCGTCCCATCACCGCCTCCCACCCTTCTGTTCTCGTGGGGAGAGGGAGCTAACGAGGAGGGATTATCCTATCCTGACCCCAGGCCTTCAGAGGAGTTCCCAGAAGGGCTATTTTTAGTGGTAGCTGCTCCTCTCTAACTTACCCAGGGGAGGAGCTGCGGTAGTGGAGCGGACGCTGAGCGCAGACAAGCCTCGGGTTTTCCGCGCATTGTTAGGGATGAGGGGGAAGGTAGCAGAGGCAGCCAACTCCCCAGGCAGAGGCCGCCAGGTGGGCGTCTGGGAGGCCGAGTGGCCCCGCCGGACAG